TTCCGCTACCTTGGACATGTGTGCATTCCACGAGCAGTCTTTTGCGATCTCTACTCCAAGGTATGTGTACTGGTCCACTACTGCAATCTCCTCGATCCCCCACTTCCATCTATGTTCTACTGGTTCCTCCTTGTTCTCGTTGCATACCATGACGGCACTCTTCTGAACGTTGGCAGACAATCTCCACTGATCAGTAAGCTTCTTCGCCGCGTCAATTTGCAGTTGCAGTCCCTCAGGGGTGTCCGACATACCACGAGGGGGGAGTGTGTTTTTTTGCGGCGCCTCCTCCGCCCCCCTGAAGGCTCTGGCGCTCTCTGGCGCTCCGGCTGTGGCACAGCGCACCACACGGGCTACGAACCACGATATGCTGTCTGCCGTACGTTTTTTTTATTGTGCTCTCCGCCGGCTCTCGTTAGCGCTTGATCAAGCTGGTCACCCTCAGAGATCAACAAGAGCTGTCGATGAGCCAACTCGGGGATATCAAGAAGCACCCTCTAAACAACAAGCCTCTGTGTCACGATTTCTGGAAAGGCATTGAAGAGCTGCGGAGTTTGAGGTCTTCCGATATCCTTACATTGGAGGATAGCGAGACGTTACCGCTGAACACATTTCGCTTCTTGGGAGTGGCCTTGTGTACAGGTGTACAGCCGTCGGTAGTGAGAATCGGGGTTGAGTACGGGAGGCGAGGAAAGCAGTGAAAATCATTTGTGTGCATTTTGAAGTAAGCAAGCAGAGAATATATATCTCTGAGAAATTGCCGATTGAAGAAATTCAGCAGGATTTGGCGGAACGAAAAAATATGAAACTTGGCATAAGAACTTGAACGACATACGCTGAGTTTATAGCCCAAAAAAAGAATTCGAGGCTGAACCTGACATAAGCGCAAACTCAATGTAATAGCACCCAAGGTCGCGTGTGTGATTGGAATAAGTAGTATTTCATAGTTAACAGGTGCCACTTTATTTGCTCGGTCCGACGAGCGACAGCCCCCGCACGCGGCTCGAAAAGCAAATCGCAAATGCTCTGGGCGCACCCTGTACCTGTGCGACCTTGACGCTGTAGTGGTGGTTGAAGCTATTGCTAACGTCCCGGCGCATCAGGACATCCCTCACATCCGAACGTGTGACTGCGTTTCTGGAGGGAAACGACAGCAGCAACAGACGAAGGATTTGATCATCAGCAAGACGAACATGTTTGTGTACTATCTTCTGTGCTTCCTTTTGTGGAATCGAAACAACGGGAAGATAATCCACCTGCCGCGACGGCAAACATTTTTTAGTTCAATACGCTATTGACTATACTCCGGTTGACAAGACTCAACTGCATACGACAATCAACTCCCGGCAGAAGAAGTAAGTGGAGAAGGAAGATAAAAGTCATGTTGCAGTCTATGTACTATACATACAACGACAAACACCCAGTTGTGCCACAGCACATGTCTGTGTGGAGGGCGAACGAAGCACAGATTGAGTGCGTTGATACGCCTGCACATGTCTGCAGGATACGCCGGCGGGCTAGAGAAAAATGCCACAATGTAGTCTAAACACGACAAAACACGGCCGAAGTTCGGAAACCAACAGCGGAGAGATCTATTTTCATACTTTTTCGATGCAAAATCTCGTCCCTCCTGAACGAAAAGCGGGATCTTGTGGTCGCATCGTGCGTCGTACTAGGATGCTGCCGTGCACTTTGTGTGCAGAAGAGATATCGTCGTTCATTATTGTGGGGCGGGTTTGGTGATCTCTCGCGCAGCAGCAAAAATATGTGACACTTACTGAGCGAGGCGAAGCTTGGGGTCCGCATCGAAGCTTGAGCTCTGCTCCGCGACGAACTCGGCCGTCAGCGCCGCAGAGGCCGGCGGCACATCCGACGAAAGCTCCATGGAATCCGCCATAGCTCTCTGATCTAGTCTCTTGTGTGCGTTAGGCATGCAACCCAACGCAAAACACGGCCTACAGCAAAACACGGACTGCAGCGAAACACGGACTGCCGCAAAATATATATTTTTTCCTTCTAAATATGACGCAACGAATCAAATACAAGAAAATACAAAGGGGGCTCCGTGTATCTCTGAACTATTCTGTATGGGGGATGGTGTTCGCGAGACACCGTACAAGACGAGCAGCAGTGCAGCCGCCGCCGGGTGCGTCCGTCGTTTCTGCTTGCGCTTCTTGTTTTCTGCTCCTGTGCTCGGGGCGTTGCATCACGGTGCCTGCGTCGCTCGCAGCTACCTTGGGTGCGTTGGATGTCGGGAGATTTCCTTCGAGAGGTGAGCCTTGTACAGGTTGTTTGCTTTGGTTCTCTACTTCTGTTCATCAGCTTCGGCGGTGGTTGTATTCTTAGTGCCAGCGTCGGTTGTGCAGAACTCTTGTGCTGAACTTTACAGCAGGAAAAAGGCGTTTGGTAAGATACAAGCGCACGAACTCGGCCCACTACAGACTCGCTACGTCCCATGCAACACTGAAAATACCTTTCCATTGCTGACCTTACGCTTGGACAGGCTGTAGGTTTGGTCTCAGGAATGGACAATAGCAGGGTGGGAGAGCAGCAGCCCTCACTACTAAGCATACTGCATATATATATATATATGTTTTATTATGTACACCAGTACTCAAGTGTCAACCATGCACAATCTGTTCTTTTATGTAGCTCAACGGGCTCCGCTCCGCTGCATATTTTCCCGTTGCACAGCCTTGCTTCCTTCGAGCAAACGTGCGGCAGTGCATTCCAGTCTGTCCAAGTGTGCTCTGATGTGTTCAAATTAGTAGAAGAGAATTTTTTCTACATGGTATAAATCAATAGAAACATCAAGTCTGGACACATTTCCTGCTCGCCTGTTCGAAGCGCGTGATCGTGTTGAAGTGAGACCTCTATAATATTCCTTCGTAGTTCTGGTTTCAGATGCATCTGCTGTAAGGCGGTGGCCCCGGTGGTATTCAGTAGTGGTCAACCTCGTGGACCTTTGGTTCCAGCAGCAGGTTTTTACTTTGATTCTCTCTAGTCTACCCCTTCAAAATTATGTGCTACTCTAAAAACAACCTTGCCTTGGGGGAAAAACGATTGATTAATTTTCCCTGGAGTTTTTTACACACGAGGCAAGAAAGGGGCGCGGCATGAACCCTTCCTCGCGCTGCAACGGTTTCAATGAAGTTGTTTTTGGTGAAAAGGGCATGTCTCGTTCGAGTGTTGTGTTATGTTGCACAACCCAGCAACCCAGATGCCGCATCGGGGTTCATCAACACCCAAAGTGCGGCGGAATCGCTGCCTCGAGGTGACGTGGTCACCGAACAGGTACATGTTCATGGAGTGATAAAAGTAGTAGACAAGCAGTGTGCCACCACCACAAGAAGTTAAAACAATGTCAGCATATAGCAGTGCGCGCAAGGCTATGCATCAGCAGATGATGCCAATGGTCCGATGCCCACCGTCAACCGTCCTCTAAAGCCTTTGTTTGGACTAATGTCTTGCTGCACAATCCGCATTTCGTGGAAGCTGGTTTCCCAGCAACCTACACCTAGTAGTATGAAAATTGCGCACAGAATCATTGTCACAGATCCATGACAATACAAGATAGAACTATGTCCCAGCAGGGGGGAGTGGGCGACGAGTGTGGATGCCGCACGACAAGTGCGCCAATCGTATTCGGTCCAGTTAGGGGTATGACGACACCACGAGGTCAGCTCGTGGGGGTTGCGAAAGGGTTGCAGTCCCAGTTCGGGTACAGCGCTTCGCTTTCACAGAATTTCAATTCCTTTGCCTTTGTTGTTGTCTCCACGCACTGCCGTACTTCGGCTTTTTCCGGGCAGTCAAAGCCTCATCGTGTTCTTCCCTGTTGACCAATCACAGCAATATTTGGCCCCCAGTACCCCGCCACCAACTTGGGTTTTTCAGGACCTCTACAACTCGGCATTATTTTTTTACCTCAAGCACCGCGGGATGATTGGTGGGGCATCAATAACAAACGTCCCTCCCTGTGGATCTCTCTCCCGTGTGGCCTTCCTCTCGCCTGATACGGCTGAACATCAAACATGTGTACACCGAACGGTGTGCAGACTGACGCCATGATAGATGGGACACACACACAGACATGCCGCCCTCTACTCTTTTGATCTACTCCTCTGCGTTACGCTACGCTTCGCTGACATCGGTCACCCTCACACCCCCATCTTCCCTGCGCCGCATGTACACCGGTCTTCCGACACGGCGCCGCAGCAGGACCACGAGGAGGAGCAGGCGCACGGAGGCGCCGCTCGCTTGGTACCGGCGGCGACGGCGGCGGTAGACGTCGGGCCGCATGTTGAGGAGGGAGCAAGGGTGACCCCTGCCCAGCCCCTGCCGTCCGGGAGGAAGAGCCTCAGCCCTTGGGGGCCTCACCAGGTGAACGAACAATGTGGGGAGAAAGGTACTCGATCGTTTTCGTCTTGTTGGCGTACCCCCCACCAACGAACGCCACGTGGTTGTCGGGTTAACGGTCAACGAAGTGCATTGTACATCGTGTCTTGGTGCTGCAATTGTTCCACGTAAACTAAACTTGTTTTGGGTGACCCCAACTGGTGCAAATGGGATGTCGATGTGCATCACAATTGTCTTTTTGTCTGGTAACGAAGGTTTCAAGCGATTCCCCCCCCCCCCCCCCC